CATCAACAAATCAACAAATGACAAGTGCTGGCGAGGATGTGGAGAAAAAGGAACCCTCGTGCACTGCTGGTGGGAATGCAGACTGGTGCAGCCACTGTGGAGAACAGTATGGAGTTTCCTCAAAAAACTAAAAATGGAACTCCCATTTGACCCAGTGATCCCACTTCTAGGAATATACCCCAAGAAACCAGAAACACCAATCAGAAAGAATATATGCACCCCTATGTTCATAGCAGCACAATTCACAATAGCTAAGATTTGGAAACAGCCTAAGTGCCCATCAGCAGATGAGTGGATTAAAAAACGGTGGTACATCTACAGGATGGAATACTTCACTGCTGTAAAAAAGAAGGAACTCGTACCATTTGCAACAGCATAGATGGACCTGGAGAACATTATTGCTAAGCAAAATAAGTCAGTCAGAGAAAGATAAATATCACATGATCTCACTCATTTGTGGAATATAATGAACAACGTAAATTGATGAGCAAAAACAGATCCAGAGACAGACACATCAATAAGATGCTCAAACCTCAGAGGGAAGGTAGTGGAGGGTAGTGGGTAAGGGGGAGAGATCAATCAAAGGACTTGCATGCATGCATATAAGCATAACCAGTAGGCACAGACACCAGGGGCATGAGGGCATGAGCTGGGCGGGGGGGGGGGGGGGAAATGGGGGGATAAGGACACATATGTAATACCTTAATTAATAAAGAAAGGGGGAAAATGACTACGGAATGCCTGAGGAACAGAAAGAGCAAATGTGGCTGTAGTATAGCAAGTGGGGAAAAGAACATACGGAGTTTAGCTTGGAGAACAAAATAGGATAGGGGTAGATTTGCAGAAGAAAGTTGTGTTCTGTTTTCGTATGTGATATTTTAGACACCTGTACAATCTGTAGTAATCTAAAAAAGGTAGTTGAATATATGACTCCTAAGTTGAGAATCTGGTCTAGCAATGTGGGTTTGGGAATTATATACTTAGAATCATATGTCTGGATGAAATTATCTAGGAAGAGTACATAGATTGAGAAGGATTTAGCCCTGGGATGTGTCAGTGTTAATTAGAGGAGAAGGAGCAGCTAGGGAGATAGGTGGACAAGCAGGAAAGTGTTCTGTCGTAGAAGCCAAGAAAAGTATTTAATAAATGCAGAAGTGGTTAGCTGCATCCCATGCTACTAAGTTGTCAAATAGAGAGTAAAGTAAAGCAGCCATTAGGTAACATGCATATCACTGATAACTCTAATATGAGTGAACAGTTTCAGAGTGTGTGAGGATAAAAGCCTGATTAAAATTGATGATGAGAGAAAGAGAATCTTCCAGTTAAGATGGCAAACAATACAGTTAAATTCAATTTTCTCCCAAAAGTCATTAAAGCTTAAATCAAAGGATTTTTACAGAAGATATAACTTCACAAGAACAAAGAGGTTGGGAGAGGAAGCAATTGCAACACAATTTTAGAACCTAAAAAGCGAAAGAAAATGTGGTAACTTCCTTGTAGATCCTAGAATCCCAAGCCAGCTGTGAGAATGCTGAGAAACAAACATTATGGTACTACTATAGAACCTCTGAAATGTTCAGGAGTTGAAAGCACTCTACTTCTGCAAATAGGAGTGAGGGTGGGACCAAAAACAGGATGATTTGCCTTTTTCTGACTGGAAATCCAGGTAACTACCCCTTCCTAATCAGAGCAGAAGACTGGAGATTTATTCTTTAGCAAGAATAAAATAGAGAAGTATAAAACATAGGTGAGAATAGGGGTACCATATTAAAAATAGGGGGATTAAGAACCTAGGCTACCAGATTTTTATAATTTTCAGTCAATAGTTTAGAAGATTTTTCTCTGGGAGTTATAAGCAGCCTAAGACAAAAGATCTGAAGGAACTGACATTAAGAATTCCCCCACAGAGCCCTAGCCGGTTTGGCTCAGTGGATATAGTGTTGGTCCTCGTACCAAAGGATCCCAGATTTGATTCCAATCAAGGGCAGGTACCTCAGTTGCAGGCTCCTCTGCAGCCCAGGCCCTGGTCAGGGTGTGTGCAGGAGGCAACCAATCAATGTGTTTCTCGCACATCGATGTTTCTCTCTGTCTTTTCCTCTCTCTTCCTCTCTCCCTAAAAATCAATGGAAAAATATCCTCGGGTTAGGATTAATAAAAAAATAGATAATAAAAGTAAATAAATAAAAAAGAATTAAAAAAATAAAAGGATTCCCCCAAAGAAATATTCCAGCCCTGGTTGGGTGCCTTTGTTGGTTGGAGCATCATCTTGTATACCAAAAGGTTGTAGGTTTGTTTCCTGGTCAGGGTACATACCTAGGTTGCAGGTTATGTATATGGGTTGTTTTCCAGAGATGGAATGCCAGGCACTGAGATTTCCTGTTAAATTTGTTCTTTTCGGAATTAAAAACATAACTGCTTTTATATTTGGCAAAATTTGAATTGTTTATAAAGTTTCTTTTGTTTTTTAAATATATTTTTATTGATTTCAGAGAGGGAGGGAGGCAGAGAGAGAGAGAGAGAGAGAGAGAGAGAGAGAAACATCAATGATGAGAGAGAATCATTGATTGATTGCCCCTTGCACATCCCCTACAGGGAAATCAAGCCACATCCAGGCATGTGGCCTGACCGGGAATTGAACCCTGACCTCCTGGTTCATATGTTGATGCTCAACCACTGACCCACACCAGCTGGGCCTATAAAGTTCATTAATTACTAGTATCTCCCTATTTGATAAATATTTTTTAAAAGCTTGTCTTAAAAATGTTTATAAAAGACATATACTGCCCTTGGGTTTCATTGTTATAAAATAGTAATGTGGTGCTTACTCAGCTGGGAATCATATCACTGAATGACTTTGAGCTCAATTTGCTTATGTTAAGGAGCCTTTGATTCCTAGCTGTAACTTGTGCCGAGCCAGCTCAGCCAAGGGTTCACAAGCCTGAGTGAGGGCGGTGAAGGATGGAGAAATGACAGAGAGAATAAGCTGGGTCTAGGTGGATCTTCCTGTGCCTGGCTGAGGCCACAGAGAGATCCAGAGGCAACCTGAGCCTTTATTTTATAGCCAGAGGTAAACAAGGTAGTGGTCACCATAGTTACAATGTTCTTGGGAGTTTCACTTGTTTTGGCAGCACTTACAGCACCTCCCACAGCCCATTAGCTACCCAGATAAGATCTAAGGAGCTCATAAGGTCAAGCCTAATTATGCTAAGAGGGCTGTGCCCTCTAAGCTGGGACTTGTTTGTGGCTTTGCCAACAGGTCAGTCCAAGGCTTAAACCTATAGCCGCTCCCTACAGTAACTTAATCTCTTATAATTTAATTTGTGAACTTTGGATTCCAATGACATTAACTGATCCTTTCAAAGACATATTGCACATGATACTGGCCTATTAATGTTAATATTTAAGAAAAAAGACTTTTAATAAAACTTAATCGCCCTAACCGGTTTGGCTCAGTGGATAGAGCATTGGCCTGCAGACTGAAAGGTCCCAGGTTCGATTCCGGTCAAGGGCATGTACCTTGATTGCGGGCACATCCCCAATAGGGAGTGTGCAGGAGGCAGCTGGTCGATGTTTC